TTATGTCGAAGTATGCTTACATTTGTTCCAAACCAAATCTACAACTTATAATTCATGTGTGTATTCGTCTTGGGCAAAGAGTGAGGGCTTGGTTGATTACAGTAGATTTAAGGTTGTTTAGTGTAGAGAAAGCCCAGCTGTGAAAGACAGTAATATTCCTGTCACCTTAACGGGCGTACTCAGTTTGAACTGTTAACAAGGAAAACTCTTCTTCAAGTCCATTTAAAATATCCTTTAAGGATCTCCCAGACAAACAAAAAGCAATCATCTCGTATATGATGATATAATGAATTGTCAACACCTAACTGTCATTATGGCTATTAAGTCTAATGCTGAAAGGAACCACTCAAAGGACTCGCCGTCTGGTAATGCTGTGAAAGTCAAAGCGTCTCTTGTATAAATTATCTTTTTCTGAGAGATTCAAATAGAATTGCCCATTATGAGTTCATTGTAAATGCCGATTAGTGCTAAACGCTAACATATGTACTTTAATGACTTAGTAATGTCATAGTTTGAAACCTTGAATCTTAAACAGCTTTACATTGGAGGTTCCTCAGCTATGATTCTATCTTTCTTTTCTATCTCCTGCTTTGTAATGGCCGAACCATAAAAACTACAGTAGCAGCCATTCAAAATGGCCCGTCCCAGTGAAACACCAGCCGAATGGCCGCCTACTTACCTGCAACTCCCAGCAAAATCCTCTCAAACTTCCAGCCACTGGAGTGACCCCCTCTTGCATATTTCTTTTACCATTTCACTGAATTACAGGGTCTGATCAAGAGATGGCACTTCTCTTAACAGATCTTAATGTCCCCAAATCATGACAGAAACAATATTTTAGTAGAAAGATTGATATTTAAAGTGAAAATGTAGGGGACCAGCCAAGGACCAGTCAAGGGCCCATCAAGGAAATTTTGAATGGCTACTACTGTAGCAAGAAGTTGCCCTCAGATTGAGAACCAAGCCTATTACCTTGTGGGATTTGGTAGTCAGAAATGTTTTGTTTATATCATACCCCGTTGTCGAACTCACACTGATTATGGTGGAAACTGTAACTTTTAGGCCAAGTATTAGCCTAATTTGAGATATGTAACTTTCAATGGGGAGTGTTGGCCTAGTGGGTAAGAGCCGTGCGCTAGTGCTCTGAGAAGGTTAAGAAGTACCCGGTTCAATCCCAACAGCCTCCACTCTGGGTTCCTGAGCAAGACCCTTAACCCCTGATTGCTTCTTGGGCATCACACAATGGCAGCCCACTGCTCCCCAAGGGGATGGGTTAAATGCAGGGGCAAATTTCTCCAATGTGAGCTCAATAAAGTTTAATTATTATTATTTAGACGATTGGATCCATCACTAAATGAGTCACGACCCAAAACAGTGCTTTACAGGAGCCTGAGCTCACCTTAAAGAGGACAGATAACTAAGTTACAAGTTGTTGGGAAACCAAGCAAATCTGACCCCGATCTAGAGGGCCTTGTCTTTACAATGAACTTCATGGCATCTCCACCTGCTGGTTTCTGATCTGTTATCAGATTCCAAAACATGCAGGGAGACCGTTTAATTTGGAGTCAATAGCCTTCAGGAAAGCTAGTCCTAGAGGTTACAGGTCAAGCGTCCCCTAGTGACAAAAAGTTACAGCGTGCTGCTTAGTCAGTGTGTACACCCATCATTCAGAGAGCAGTGTAGGTCTAGTTAGTGAGGTTGTTAGACAAAATTTCACAAGGTGATTTTGATGAATGCCGCAGTCATCCTATGCCAATGTGTGTTCACACCAAATGTGATTCAAGTGGCCCCAGAGTGCTGTGGTTCACCTGACATATTGCCAGCAATTCACATGGCATGCATGAAGCTCCACTCCTGTCACTTCACTGCAAACAGAAGAAGTTTATTTCTAATGTTTGCTGGTTTAAACACAGGCAGTTCTGGATTTACCAAGCTAGTCAAGTCACCTTAAATCTTACTGTAAATACGTCACCTTAAATCTCTTCTTCTTTATTTTTTAATATCCACTGTATATATCTGAATTAACTGTATATACTTCATGCAGCATTTCCTCATTTTTGCACCTTCTGTTGTTTATACGAGCAGATGTTACAAGTTAATTTATCCATTGTGAGATTAACAAAGATCAAATCTAAGTTGAAATAATATTTTTGTCTTTCACCGTAAGATAAGTTATACTCCATTTTCTGTGAAATCCGATTTTTTTGTGAAATCTGCATGCGCAGTAAAGGACACAATGGCACCACTAGCCAGCTTGCTCCGTGTTTACGGATGTAAACATGGATGGTATTGCTGGAGCGCATCTTTCCCAACCTTAAAAACGCAATATTTTCAAGATGGTTAAACATAAATACTGCTTTCCACATTATCGTCCACCATGGTTGTTGTTTTTCTTGTTGCTTCTGTGTAGGAAGACGCAGAATAGTGACCTTTGTCGGGTATTAATATTGTTCAGGTCGGACAAATGCGTCCTGGCCGTTCAGCCACAGGTCGCGTATGAAAAGATCAGATTCGTATCACATAGCCAAGGGACCTGGGTCGCATTGGAAAAAAAATCTGTGTTGATCTGTGTTGTTCAGAATGCCATGAAAAGATCAGATACAGAACACATATGGTCAAAAAAAATTAGATTTGGGCCACTTCAGGGTGCTGTGTGAACGTTGCCTTAGACTACCCCTGTGAAACCGATCCGTGCCGAGTTCGGACCGAACTTGGATCAGTTAACCGTCCAGAGCTTGGTTCTTACGACCATTTACAGATCATGCCAGCAGAGTTCCATGCCTACTATTGTACAAGTCTGCGCATCTCAAGGGGGAAATTACGCAAACAAAAATGGTGCTGCACAGAACATTCAAGAACTTGGATAAGAGCCCATTTTCAATAAGAGCATCGGTCTCAGCATCATCCCAGGTCACCCACCACTCCTTTGATGCCACTTATGTTAACAGGCTGAGAAGAAGTTTGTACTGTGAACAGGTGAAGAGATCTGTTAGTTGCAAAGCCTGACATGCAAGAAAACCTGGAAAATGAGTCAGCTGACTATGAAAATAGGAGATGACGCGATCTGCTCATGGCACAAACGAACTGTGCCGAGCCCTACTGATGAACTAATACTAGATTTAGCGCTGTTCGGTTGTGTCTGGCAAAACGAGTCCAGTTCAGTTGTGTTCCATTTACACACAAGAGTTATCTTATAAACGTTCTCAGCACAGTTCTAAAAGCTTGCGTAAAAGGGGCATTACTTTAAAAAAAGTAATTCTTGTCCACCGCTGTTGCATGCGCCTCATGCGCTTACATGTGCAGGTTACTGACACTTTGACTTAGACCAAGAAATTAGTCCTTATTTATACAGTTAAGTAACGAATAATGCATCTGTTTAAAGCGCAGTAATGACTAACGCCTTACTGTTTTTTACAAACTAATTAGTGACATTGGTAATTACCAGAAAAGTAACCTAGTTACTGTTACAGTATAGAAGCAAATTGTGTTGCCTTATGTTACTGTGACCTTAAGCTCAATTGGTAACACAGAGTAAGCAGGCTGGAAGTCATGTACAAATCTTGGCAAAAAAAGGGTCTTAAGGGCTGACTCGCACGCAATCGGGTCACAGGCCAAGAAGCTTCCAGGAAGTTCTCCAGAGCGTCCAGTCGTGCACGTGCATCCACACAGTGCAATATTGAAACTATATAAACGCCCAGATTGGAATGAGAGTGGAGAAAAAGCAAGATATGTTCTGTTAAAATGTTCGGCGCGTGTACTGAGGACAGCATGTCAATTTGATCTTTAAAATAAATGCTTCTTCTCCCGTCCTGGGGCAATCAGATGATCGACTGAAGGTGTCCTGATTTTTTAGATTCTACCATTGAAAGCCACCACAATGGGTTGGTCCCAACAGTGTTGTCTTGGGACCAGAGCCTGTGTAAAAGAAGCTGATTAGTCAGTCACTTCATTTGGATGGGATTAAATAGATCTTACATAATAAAGTAAAAACACTGTGTGTTATTTTTGATCAGGACTTTTTATTTAAATCCCATATCAACGAGTCCCTCTTTCATCTGTGGAATATTGCAAAAATTAGGAATATCTTATCCACAGGTGATGCTGAGAAACTAGTCCATGCATTTGTTACTTTAAGACTTGACTATTATAATTCTTTACTATCATGTAATCCAGAAACTGTAGTTAAAAGCCTTCAGCTGATCCAAAATGCTGCAGCCAGAGTATTTCTCCCATCTTGGCCTCTCTTCACTAGTTTCCTCTTGGATCTGGAATATAATTTAAACTCTTCCTTCCTAGATATATTTTGTCCTGATAGTTAGTGTGAAAAACAATAAATAAAATCTTGATAAATATAGTGAAAATATCAAATTTGAGAAAATCACAGATTCTCCTGGCTTCTTCAAATGTGTAATAAAATAATACAGTCCAATAGGGAAAGTAATAATCCCTAAACTTTATCTTTATAGATTTAAGACTAAAATTGATGTCTAATTTATAATATTACAGATTAATCACAATTTGTGTGAAACATCAAAACTGATTTTTCCATTAGGCTGAAAGCATTTATTAAAAAACAGATAATTTGACAACCAGATGCATGTGGAATGGAAAAAAATTTAGCTATTTAAATGTGATAATAAGAGCCTAAAAAAAGAAAGTGATAATATGAGGCCTTGGAAATGCACGGCTGGCTGATTGTTTTTCTTTTAAAGAAAATTCAAATGGCCACTTCAATAAAAAATAAAAATTGGGGAATGAAAGTGAATTCTGTTCACAGAAAACCAAGCTTTCTATTACTTCAAAAAACAGAAATCTCATTTAACTTCAAAAACTGTTATTAGTCCTGAGCTTGGTGTTCCACTGTGGAGGGACGGCGGCATTAGTACAGAACTCAGGAATGGCTGCACACAAAACATCTGAAAACATTCATAAAAAATGTCTCTAAAGCTTGATAAAAAAAAAAAAAAAGATTATAATGTTGGTTTAGACTGAAGCCATACCTGGTGAAGGTGTCTCAGTGTCCACATCTAGTCTAGTTCCCACCGTGGTTATTTCAGCGTTGGGTTCAGGATGGTTTGTCCATGTGTCAGGCAGCTGAGAGTGTGAATCTGTGGAAGGAGGTTGACTTGGATCCCTGTCTTGTTCCAACGCCACAGCTGATTCTGGGGGTTTTACCCTCGTTGGTAAATCCCCGCTTTGATGCTCCTGCGGGTTACTTCCATGGAAGGAGCTGACACTGAGCCCTCTGCCCAGGAGAGGGAGCAGATTCTGGGGCAGCGCAGAGGGGACGATCTCCCCTTTCTTGGACATGAGACGTCCTTTGTGGGCCAGCACTGAGTGTAGTAAACCTCCTACTGCGATGCTGGAGGTTTTCCCTTTCATGCTGCCTTCCCTTGTGTCAGCCGTCGTCACCGCTGGAGTCTGCACAGAGGGGGGGACTGTGGGGACCTCTTTATCTGACAAAGGAAAAAAAAATAAATAAATAAAACCACTGCAAGAGACAGAAATAAACATCTTGCTGTAGAAGTCTGATCTGGGGGGGTTCTTGCTCTTTAAGAATAAAGTTTTAATAGTCTCATTTATGGTTACATTTTTTTTTTCAAACTTCTATTTACCCGACCGATTATTTGCTTGCAACAATCATGGAACAAAAATAACTCAATATAACCTCACCTGGATATCGTAAATTATCCTAAAGCTAATACTTCACTGCAAAAAATTGAAATCTAAATAAGTAATATTTTCTTGCAATAAGTGCATGTTTTCTCGAATTGAGGAGGTAATTGAGAGACTTTGCCAATGGAACAAGACAATTTACATTTAAAATAATAAAACACAATTGCATTGTCTTATTTCAAGTGCATGTTATCTAATTATCTTATTTGAAGACTGAAAATAGTCATTCCATTGGCAAATTATCTTATTTACCTACTCAAATGAATGGTAAATACACTTAATTTAAGACCTTTTTCCCTCAATTTTAGATTGTTTTTGCAGTGTTGCTTTAATTTCACAAATAAAAAACAATTTTTTTAAGTCAGGAGAGTAAAGTAGTGGTTAGGGCATAAAGCTTGGAATCCAGAGTTTCTGAGTTTGAGCCCCACTCCCACAGACTGCCCCTGTGGGTCTCTGAGCAAGACCCTTAAGCCCACACTGCTCCCCAGGTGCCGCACAATGGCAGCCCACTGCTACCCAAGGGGATGGGTTAAATGCAGAGGTAAATTTCTCCAATGTGAGATCAATAAAGTTCAATTATTATTATTAAGTCTTACTAAAAAAACAGCAAAAAATGCATAGAAGTTTGTGGTTATAATGTGACAAAATGTCAGAACCGTCAAGGGGGAGGAATACTTTTCCAAGACGCTATATATAGACAGCTAGAGCCCAAATGAGATAAGCCCCACATTCAATACACACAAAATACCCATGATACACACAGATACACACAGAGCCCCGCGAAAAGACTGAGCAGTCGAGCATGACAGGAGTCAACCCTACATGTGGGAGGAAGAAGGTGGGAAAAAAATGGAAAAGAAAAGCATAGACAGGGAAAGCGCTCTGCCATGCATTCTAAAATGCCATCTCCAGCAGCTCGGTTCAAAAACAGCACACAGCAGCATTTACACACACAAGCCTGCATGTAAGCATTTACACATACCCCCCCGTCTTCCCCTTCACCCCAACAAAAACAAACCTGGGGTGCTTAAGCTGGTTTTATGCAATTATAGACCCCTGAAAAACATCATTCCAACCTGTAGGAGGAGCTTTACACTTACTTTTTTTAAATAGATTTAAGGATTCAGCATGTTTTTAGCAGCATATAAACATTTTCTTCTGCTTAGTTTATTTTTATGTGAAAATATGTATAAAAAGGTGCTACTATTTATTAATGATAGTACAAAAAAACAAGGTATGCATGAAGCAGGGGGACGACAAACAGCTTATAAAACTAAAACCCAGCTTAAACTTCACTCACATACTTTAGGAGAAAATAAGTCGGGTGAAATTGTTAGTGCAGAAAGGGCAGCAGAGCAAGTCTAAAGAGCATACTGTAGCGAGACACCCATCTTCTCTGATCCCACAGAGAGTGCTACAACCATCTGTTAATGAAGAATGATTATTCTAATAAGCCCAGCAACTGTTGAGTATCTGCCTCGTGTTTCCAGGGGCACGGAAGATACACTTGTAAGGAATATTATACTCCAGCACAATCTGCCCATGCTTTTACTCTATTTCAGGCTGATATCTATCTAAGGTGATCGAACATCTATGTTAAGTCTAAAATACCTTAGAATGCCATGTATAATAGCAGTACGAAGGAGTATTAGGGCCAGGCTTTTTTGTAATTTCGAGAATAAAGTCATAAAATTACGAGAATAAAGTTGTGAAATTACCAGAATAAAATTGTAACATTATGAGAATAAAGTAATAAAATTATGAAAAATAAAGACAGAAAACTATGAGAATAAAGTCATCACAATATGAGAATAAAGTCATAAAACTACAAGAATAAAGTTGTGAAATTACAAAAATAAAGTTGTAACATTACGAGAATAAAGTAATAAAATTCTGAGAATAAAGTCATAATATTATAGGACTAAAGTCATAACATCACGAGTACAAAGTCATAAAATGATGAGAATAAGTCATAAAATTATGAGGATAAAGTCGTAAAGATATGAGTTTAAAGTCGTAAAATTACAAGAATAAAGTCGTAACATTATGAGAATAAAGTAATAAAATTCTGAGAATAAAGTCATAGCAATAAGAGAATAAAGTCGTAATATTATAGGAATAAAATCCTAACATCACAAGTATAAAGTCATAAAATAATGAGGATAAAGTCATAAAATTACAAGAATAAAGTCGTAAAATTACAAGAATAAAGTCGTAACATTATGAGAGTGAAGTAATAAAATTCTGAGAATAAAGTCATAGCAACAAGAGAATAAAATCGTAAAATACAATATAATCGTAAAATTACAAGAATAAAGTTGTATTTTATGACAACTCCTACAAGCGGCACTGTCTTCCCTAAAATTGGGAATGTTGAGCATCATGTGAAGATAAACTTTGGTTCTGGTTTGACAAATGATGAAATCTTTTAGCAGCAGCATCAAATTGGGCAGAAGGTCAAAGTGGACTCAGGTTGCTGATTGGTGGAGCTGGTCGGCCGTCATCTGCTGGTCGGAGTTTGAAGCTTTCTTTCTGAAACAGGTTGTTGTATGATGACTTGTATGATGACTGTTGCTTTCAACTTCCTTCTCATAATATTACGACTTTATAAAAAAAATCTCTAGCCTGGCCCTAATACTCTGTCATATAGCGGTGTAACAGTGTGTTTGTCAGAAAGACATTGTAGGGAAATAAGCTTTTTTTGGTAGCAGCAGTTTTTTTTTTTGCAAAGTATGCACAGTAAAATCGAATGTTTTAATTTCCAGTGTTGGTTTTGTGTGAAAGTATGGTGTTAATAAAAAAATTGTTTAGCATAATTCAACCATGCAAGAGTTAGATCCTGCAAAGTTTTGGGTTTTAATCTGTGTAGTTAAATTCAAGATACTCTATTAAGTGTTGATTTTAAAATAAAGGATTAGCATTATTGTTGTTACGTCTGCCAGAACGTTAAGTCTGTTTTCTAAATAACTTATGGATGAGTTTTGCCAAAGATTTCAGGGAAAGTGACTGGAAACACATCATTACATTTTGGTGATTATCCAGATCACCATCTGGATCCAGGAATCTTTTGAAAGATTCTGTAAATACCGGTATTACTTAAAGTCATAGGGAAATCGTATTTAAATGTCAAACCATTCCAGCTTAAACATGTATATAAATTCACTCTTTATCAGACCATATTGTCCCAAAGGTTAGAAAATTTCTATTGAAAAAAAAAATGCTGTCTTAAAATCTGTGGGTTTTTCCGTTATCTTATGAAGGCCAGTTAGTTATACGTCAGCCTGACCACCTAAATTCGGCCAGTCATATAGCAACGTTCATCTGTCAATCAATTTTTTTTCGGTCATAGCATCTTGATTCATATGTCGCAGCTAATATACGCAACGGTTGAAATAAGAAATAAGAATCATTCCTTTCCCATTGGGTTCCATCCCAGTGTTCACGTAGCCTAGTGAGACCATCCTGATCTTGCGAGCTTTCAAGGTTTCACTCGCAGATCAGTCTGGAGACTCTCCGTTAAAGAAAATTTGGAGCCGTTCACCAAACGAACGTCCAATCAGCGTTGGCTTTGAGGCGGGTTGAGGTGTGACGCAACGAGAAGCGTGACAGTTCAGTCTAAAGAGCATGGCGGCTTCAGCCGATGAAACTAGCGTTAGCGTGGCTATCGAGCAAGTTTTATCGGAATTACAGAGTATTTCTTCACTGAAAGAAGAGCAAAACACTGCTCTGGAGGCTTTTCTCAGAGGAAAAGATGTTTTTGCTCTTCTCCCGACTGGTTTCAGCAAGAGTTTGATCTATCAATTGGCTCCTCTTCGTCGTCGCTCTGTTACGTCAAATGCTTCGTTGATCTGATTGGTTAATTTGGCCCATCTATCACCAACATAGACCAATCAGAAATGGATGACGGAGGAGACTCATCCACGACCTCCGACACTAAACTCTCCTCCTCTTGCATGTTTCCGCTGTCCATAGTGTTCCTTGACAGTGTCGTTTCTAAGTGCTGCTTGGTCCCAATGTAATTTCTCATTGGGAACCTAATAGCACAAAGTTGCTAACTGGTTAGCAAAAAACTTGCTGGTGAACCTTCCACCACAACAATCCCGCCCTCTTGATAAACGACCAATCACATTCACTTTATTTACTCGTGTAAAGTCGTGCTCCACTCGTTTCCCTTCGACTTTGATAGTGGAAGTCACAATACTACAGTAAAAGCAAAATTTCCCCACTTTCCTTGACTAGCCCTTGGCTGGTCCCCTACAATTCCTTTTTAAGCATCAATCTTTGCACAACAATATTCTTTCTGTCAAGATTTATGGACATTAGATCTTCAGAGAAGCGTCATCTTGTCAGACCCTGTCATTCAGAGAAAGGGTGGAGTCAGAGTAAAAAAAATATGCATGCCCAGGAGATTTATTTGAAAATCCTGAAATCATGTATAATAGCAGTAAGATCCATTACTAAACATGTAATCTATCTATCTATCTATCTATCTATCTATCTATCTATCTATCTATCTATCTATCTATCTATCTATCTATCTATCTATCTATCTATCTATCTATCTATCTATCTATCTATCTATCTATCTATCTATCCATCCATCCATCCATCCATCCATCCATCCATCCATCCATCCATCCATCCATCCATCCATCCATCCATCCATCCATCCATCCATCCATCTATCTATATATAAATATATATATATATATGTATATATATATTAAGGAAAGTATATATAGATATACTTTCCTTTTTTCAAGGCCAATATATTTACTCT